CGCCGCAGGGTGGCGTACGCGGGCACGGCCAAGGGTGCTGTGGCGCAGCGACAGGCTGTGTGCATAAGTGGCTCGTCCTGTACACAGCAGCGCGCGTAGAACCATGCACCCGTGCGGGTACGCGTCGAATCTATAGACGCGCATAGGGAGCATTGCGGCGCTCGGTACATGAGTGTATGAAAATGAAAGCCCTGCCGGTCTGTTAGCATCACACGGGCTGTTTACCATCCGCGTGATACATTGCATGACATATGCGTGTACGTCACACGGTGTGGGTACATGCATGACATATGCGGTCCCGTCATACCGTGTACGTGTACATGCATGACATGACTGAGGGTAGGCCTTACATGACACGGCTGCTGACGGGCCGCGCGCTGTTGCGTGTCACATGCATTGCACTGGCTGGTGTAGCTTACATACACGTGTAACGGTGTGCGTGTACATGCCATGACAAAGGCTTGCGTCGTTAAGCCTACATACACGTGCTGACCGGGGCCTGTGCGGTACATGCACTGACAGCTGCGTGTAGGCCTACCTACACCGTGTGACGGCGACTGACCGGGGGACGCTCACCGACCCGATGGCGTTGCGCATGTTACATGCATGATAGCTGCGTGTAGGACCCTCATACCACGCTGTGACGGTCGTGGCGTGGTACATTGCATTGCCATGAATAGCTGCAGGGTAGGGCCTACATTAACACGTGTGCCGGTGTGCGTTGTACAGTTGTATGAGTAGACCGCTGCGTGTAGGCGCTACATACAAGTGTGACGGGCTGCCATGATCGTCGTGCGTGGTGTACATGCCGCATGACAGCTGCGTAGTAGGCCTACATACACGTGTGGACGGTGTGCGTGTACATGTATGACAGACTGCCCGTCGTAGGCCGCCCTTACATACACGGGTGACGCCCACGCGCCGGTGTCGCGTGTACATGCATGACAGGCTGAAGGGTAGGCCCTACCTCACACCGTGTGTGCACCGTGTGCGTGTACATGCATGACAGCTGCGTGTAGGCCTACATACACGTGTGACGGTGTGCGTGTACATGCATGACAGCTGCGTGTAGGCCTACATACACGTGTGACGGTGTGCGTGTACATGCATGACAGCTGCGTGTACGTACCAGGACCGTAGATATCGGGGGGGGGGAAGCCTCCGAAGAGCCGGGGGGAAGCCTCCAGAGAAGCCATAAAAGAATGTAGATGCCTATATGCAAATACGAGTGCAGCTGTTCGTGCGTGCGTTAGTGTACATGGGTAGGCGGGGGTGGGCCCTACATGCTTACTCGCGTGTACGTGCATGCGTGTACGTGCGTGGACGCGCGTGTGCGTGTGTCGTGCTCGCACCATGTTGCCGGGAGATGATTGTAGTTGACGGGAGTATTACTTGATGCCTTGATCGAGTTACCGCCAGTCGAATACAGTAACAAACGAGCCGTTTGACGCTGATTGCATTTCGCGAAGGAATTTATTATTTTACTACGAGCGGTCGCGCGCAGAGTTTCATGTTCTGATTGAATTTCGTCGGCAGTGTAATGATATGCATGGAGAACGCGATGAATACGTCGGCCGATGCGCCGGAATGCATGCGTCGACGCCGACGCTCCGACGGGACACGGTCCGATGGTCGTCTGCCGACGCCAGCCGACGACCTCGCTTTGTGCGCGCGTGTTGTACAATTTTAGCGGAAGTTTTCGAGCTTTTAGCGGATAAAGCGGCGGCAGCAGCAGCAGCAGCGCCGCCGCAATTAAACGAGAGCTGCTGGTGTGTTGCGATTATCTCTCAATCGAAGCAAATTAGGAGAGGCGAGCGCGAGGCTGAAGACGTTCTCGGAGTAATTTGCCGAACCGAACGGATGAAGATGCGGCGCTGGATTTAAACGGCAAACTCGCTGTCTGACTGCGTGGCGCAGCTGTGTGTGTGTGTGTGTGTGTGTGTGTGTGTGTGTGTGTGTGTGTGTGTGTGTGTGTGTGTGTGTGTGTGTG